ATAATTATATATTTTTGTCTCATACTTCTATTATTTTTTTCATCTTCCTCAGTTATTTTTAATTTTTATTTAATCGAATTCATAATTCTTAAAATTTGAAAAAAATTAATCAAGAAACTCCTCCTAATACAAAAATGGTTTTTTAAAAAATCAAGATGCATAATTTTTGAGATTTTTATTTTAATAAAAATTAAAAAAATTATAAATTTCATTATATACTTACCTCTATCATCCTTGATTATCACAAATGTGAATATAATAACTTCCACATTTGAGTAATTAAAAAATCTAATTTGCTCAAATTGATTTAGCACGGAAGACCAAAGTGTTACATTGAAATGGTTTTTCCTTCAATAAAATTAAAACAATATCAAACAACTATTTATAATTAATTGATCAAGTATTATATTTTATTCAATTAAAGAAAAATGAAATTCAAATAAATTTCATGTAATTATTTAAATATGAATTACTTTTGATCTTCAATGTGTAATTCTATGCAAGTAACATTACTACCATTTGCTTGCCTTTCCTATGGAGTTCCAACATCGACCAAAGCTTTAATAACATCTAAATTTTTAATAAAAGTATTTTAAATAAAAATAAATCACATATTCATTTAATAAAATTATATTAAAATTAAAAAAATACCACAAACACATTTCTTATCTTTCTTGAGAAGCTTCTCATAATCAATGAGTTCAAATACAAATCTCAGAATCTCTGTGACTTCTTCGATTATTTCTTTGACAATGGTATCAAGATGAAATTGAATCTTGTAGTTGTTATAAGAGACAACACGATAGGTGTCTTTATTCTTTTCCACGGAAATTTTTCACGTAATAAACATTCCTTTCAATCAACTTATTCTTAAATTATAGAGTATTAGAACTTCAAATGATAGCATGAATAAAATTTTTTTTGCAAATAAATAATTATTGTTAATAAAAATCGTTAAATACATAAAAGAGTAAACGTAATACTTATAAAATTACCTTCTCATTGGCTAGAACCATTTCAGTGGTGAGATAGTCCCTATCATGTTTTAAATTAAAAACATCCCATAATCTACATATTCGCACTTTAATCTTCCAATCTTCTTTATCGGGTGAAAGTTGATCAAGAAATACATATTCCATATCTCTTGCAATTGATTTACTTCTACATAATAAAATATTTTAAAATTAGAGAAAAAATGTAACATAATTAGCGAGAAAAGAAATTGATACTTAAAATCAAATACCTATTCATATCGAGAAAATGTAATCCAAGCAACTATACCCTGTAATCAAAATTTGGATTTAGGAAAATCTCTAAACAAAATAACAATGAAAAAACTTTGGTTAAATGCTAAATTTGGTCCCTCAACTTTAAGAAATGCACATTTTTGATCCTTCAACAATTTTTTGCACTTTTTTGATCCCTCAACTACAAGAAATGCACTCCGTTAGTCCTTCTGTTAATTTCAGC